CCTTCTTTCTAGCCCCCAGCGAGGCTTGGGCTCCGGCCCAGGGACACCACGTGGGGGCTCCCGCCGTGGCAACGTTCCCGGAACCCCCCAAAGAAGTCGGCCCCTTTCTAGCCCCCAGCGAGGCTTGGGCTCCGGCCCAGGGACACCACGTGGGGGCTCCCGCCGTGGCAACGTTCCCGGAACCAGCCCCCAAAGACTGCTCCCCGCAAGGGGCCCTAGCCCGCTCCCTAAATGGCCTGAGCGGCACTCCCGGCCTGGCTTCTCCCCAAAACCTATTTGGAGGGGCCTCAGGCATCCTCTGCAGATTGCAGACAGCCTGTCGCCAGACCCCAAGCCCCGAGACTGCCTCGCTGGAGCTCCCAGTTGCCTGGTTTCCTTACTCACCCATCGCGGCTCCGCTCGCTCCTACTTGGCGGCGGCAGCGGCGGCGGCTCCGGCGGCAGCTTCAGCAGACAATATGGCGGACCCGCCGGACGGAAGCCCCAAACGGACAAACAACCTAACAGTCAAGCCCGGGAAGAAATGCGCTCTCAGCCCCACAGGGTCGCTGACACACAAGAGCGCATTTAAAGAGACTGCAGCTCCTAAAGTCGGAGAATAGGGATGGACTATGGAAAGGGTGGGTGGAGAGAGATTGATATCAAAGCCAATCATAGACCCTGCACTGGATATGAATAAAGGCTCACTTGAAGAGGCGAAATGACTTGCTCAAGGATATAGAGAGAAGAAAATAAAGAAGACAAGAGTAACCAGGATTACAATCTTATTGGGAGTTAAAATTAGAAAAATGAGACCAGTGCAGTGCTTTATAGTTGGCAGAGCTACTGTATTTCATTTATTTTCGCAGCAAGCTCTCTGAGGGCAGAGGTCGGTTCTGTATTTTTTTCATCAATATCTCCCAACACCCAGTACAGTATCTGGCACATGGTATGTGCTCCATACATAACTGTTGAGTAAATAAACAAACGAACAGGTCTGTGACTCACACAAAGCATGGAAAGTGATTTCCCTTTTTAGAGATTAGGAAATGGGAGCCTTGAGTGTTTTCATGCCTTTTGAATCATGAAATTTTATGGCTGGTACATATTAGGCCTCTCTTTTTGGATGACAGGCCCGTCCTGTTCCTCACCTCAACACACAGGAAAGCTATGACTTCAAGTCACTGGTCCCAAGGGGAAGCTGTCTTTTGGAAGCAGGATGAGGGATCTGGGCTTCTAGGTCCTGACACAACAAATTGCCAGCTCTAGTGTGGTCACCAGTTAAGGGAAACAACTCAAGAAGCTAACTTTAAAACTCAGGGTCAGGAAAGGGAGTACTATCTTTCTCTTTCTACTGCCACTGCTCAAGGTCAGACCTCTTCAGTACCTTCTGCTCTATTTTGCCTGCCTCCTCACTGGTTCCCTGGCCCCAGGTTTTCCCACTCGCACCTATCATCTCCTTTATTATTTTTCATTTTTTAAAAAATATTTTTATTGATTTTAGAGAGGAAGGAAGAGGGAGAAAGAGATAGAAACCTCAATAATGAGAGAGAATTTATTGGCTGCTGCCTCCTGCATGCCCCCCGCTGGCACGCCCCCCACTGGGGATGGAGCCCGCAACCCAGGCATATGCCCTTGACCGGAATCGGACCTGGGACCCTTCAGTTCGCAGGCCGATGCTCTATCCACCGAGCCAAACCAGCTAGGGTCTATCATCTCCTTTAAAGCAGATACCTTGTCCTAGCTGGTCTGGCTCAGTGGATAGAGCTGTGGACTGAAGAGTCCCAGGTTCGATTCCAGACAAGGGCGTGTGGGAGGCACCTTCCATTCTCTCTGGGGGGTGGGGGTGGGGGGGAAATGAATAGAAAAATATCCTTGGGTGAGGTTTAACAACAACAAAAAAGCAGATACCTTATCATGTCATACCTCTGCTTAACTACTTCATAACTTCCTACTGTCCCTCCTTAGGTAATGCCCCCAATTTCAATCTGAGACACAGGCTGAAAATCAAACTAGCAAATTTTTGGTGCCCTGGGTGACGCCCAACCAAGCCACACCAACCAGGGCAGCTATTTCTTGTCTGGGAAGCTCTTTGTCTGTGCTTCAATTCTAAATGATAGCTTTGAAAGGTAGAGTAATCTTAGTTGTAGGTCCTTGCTTGTCATCACTTTGAATATTTCTTGCCTATCCCTTCTGGCCTGCAGTTTCTTTTGAGAAATGAGCTGACAGTCTTATGAGAGCTCCCTTAAAGGTAATTAACTGCTTTTCTCTTGCTGCTTTTAAGATTCTGTCTTTAACATTTTGCATTTTAATTATGATGTATCTTAGTGTGGGCCTCACTGGGTTCATCTTGTTTGGGACTCTCTTCATCTTGTTTAGGGAAGTTTTCTGTTATTATTTTTTTCTTTTCTTTTTTAATCCTTTCCCAAAGATATTTTTCCATTGATTTTTAGAGAGAGTGGAAGAGAGAGGGAAAGAGAAGAATATCGATGTGAGAGAAACACATCGATTGGTTGCCTCCTGCACATGCCCCAACCGGGGCCTAACCGGGGAGGAGCCTGCAACCAAAGTAGTGTCCTTGACCCTTGACTGGAATCAAACCTGGGACCCTTCAGTTCACAGGCCGACACTCTATCCACTGGGCTAAACCAGCTAAGGCTGTTATTATTTTTTCAAATAGGTTTTCAATTTCTTGCTCTCTCCCTTCTTCCTGCACCCCTATGATGGGAAAGTTGGTATGCTTGAAGTTGTCCCAGAGGCTCCTTATACTATCCTCATTTTTTTGGATTCTTTTTTCTTTTTGCTTTTCTGAATGGGTGTTTTTTATTTCCTTACATTCCAAGTCAATGATTTGCTTCTTGGCTTCATGGACTCAATTGTTGATTCTCTGTAAATTATTCTTTATTTCATTAGTGTATCCTTCATTTCTGAGTGTTTCTTTTATTAAAAAAATATTTTTATTTTTATTGATTTCAGAGAGGAAGGGAGAGGGAGAGAGATAGAAACATCAATAATGAGAGAGAATCATTGATCGGCTGCCTCCTGCATGCCCCCTACTGGGGATCGAGCCCACAACCCAGGCATATGCCCTTGACTGGAGCCCTTCAGTCCGCAGGCCTATGCTCTATCCACTGAGCCAAACCAGCTAGAGCTCTTACTGTTTCTTTAAAAAAACAAAAAAGCTTTTATTGATTTTAGAGAAAGAGGGAGAAACATCTATGTGAGAGAGACATGGACCGGCCATCTCCTGCACGCCCCACACTGGGGATCGAACCCACAACCAGGGTATATGCCCTGACCAGGATCGAACCGTGACCTCCTGGTTCATAGGTCGATGCTCAACCACTGCCCCATGGTGGCCGGGCCAGGACTGTTTCTTTTTTATGCTGTTGAGGTTCTCGTTAAGTTCCTTGAGCATCCTTATAACCATTGTTTTGAACTCTGCATCTGGTCCATTGCTTGTCTCCGTTTTGTTTGGTTCTTTTTCTGGAGTTTTGTTCTGTTCTTTCATTTGGGACGACGTGTTTGTCTCCTCATTTTGGCAGCCTCTGTGTTTGTTTCTATGTATTAGGTAGAGCTGCTATGTCTCCCAGGCTTGGTAGAGTAGCCTATTGTAGTAGATGTCCTGTAGGATCCAATGACCCAGCCTCCCTGACCACCCAAGCTGGGCTCTCTAGTTGCACCCCTCCCCACCCGTGGGCTATGTAGACCCTCCTGTTTTAGTTGAATCTTGATTGCTGTCGGCACATCAATGGGAGGGATTTACCCCCAGGCCAATCTGCTGCAAAAACTGGCTACCACCACCAACCACTGTGAAGGATCAGGTGTGCAGGGGCCCGCCCCACCGAGCAGCACACACTTCAGCAGGGCTCTGCTGCCCGAGTCTGCCTCTTGAGTGTGTCACTGTGGTGGTGGCTGGGTGGTTTTTCTATGTGATCTGAAGCTGTTCACTGGGTGCACTGGCTCTGAAGCCTCCTGGAGGGTGCTGCCTGCGCTTAGAACTCAGGCCAAGGCACCCCCCACAGATGTTGAAGACGAACTTCACATGCCCAAGGTCCGTCTGGAATCGGCTCTCACCCCTATAGTTGGGGTGGGGCTGGAACCCCAACCTGCTACAAGTTAGCTGTGGCTGTGCCCACCCAACTCCACAGGACAAAGTAGCCCAACAAACCCTGGAAACTGCAGGTGGCACAGGACCCGGAGGAGGGCCGCGAGGCCTCAAATAAACTCTTATAAAAACTCTCAAGCCTTAGCTGGTTTGGCTCAGAGGATAGAGCATCAGCCTATGGACTGAAGGGTCCTGGGTTCAATTCTATCAAGGCCACATGCCCAGGTTGCAGACTGGATCCCCAGTAGGAGGCGTGCAGGAGGCAGCCAATCAATGATTCTCTCATCATTGATGTTTCTCTCTCCCTCACCCTTCCTCTCTGAAATCAATAAAAATATATTTAAAAAACCTCCACAACTCTCGACCTTTACATAAATGAAATAAAGCAAATGCTATATAACTTAAAAAAAATTCTCTACAGGTTTGAGCATTCTTATGTTGCATCTTCCTCATCTTTGTAGCTGTCTCAGTGCCGAGCACAATGCCTGCATCAACAAAGGCACCAAAAGCATCTGTAGCAGTGTCTCCCTGCCATATACCTCTGTGGACTCATCTGCTTATCCTGTGGCCAAAGGGCTCGGGGGACACAGGCAGACTAGATGTGCAGCTACGACGGTCTCTCCTCCCAGCCCGTTATGCCCCATAGGAACCAGGTGGCCCTCCAAGCAGCTTTGTTTCCACTCTAGCACTTGGCCTTGCTCAGAAACTCTCTAGTCTGGAGCCATTGATCCTCCCTGATCCAGGCCCTCCAGACCTTTTCAGCTCCATCCCACCCCCGGCCCACTTTCCTTATCTTTCCTGCTCTAGGAACCACATCCTGCTTACCCTCCCCAAATACACCAGATGTTCCAAATCTGTGCTATTGCACATGCCCTTTTCTCCGCTTGAAGTGCCTTTGCCCTCTTGTCCACCTAGGAAGTAGCTGATGCAACTCAGGCTATCCACTCCTCCAAGAAGTCCAGAGAACATTACACATTCTTCCCTCTGTGCTACTGTGTACCTTGTAACTGTTATAACCATCCCAGTGTAGTACGACTTGTTTCTGTGTCTTGGTATCTTCACTATCTCCCACAACACCTGGCATAGAACAGGGCACTATGACTGCACGCTGAACCAGGACCTCACATTCTGCTAGGGTAGTAGTGTCATATTTTGGAGGGGTTTTTTTTTTGGCCCAGCTCTATCCTAGCTGTGTTACCTCGGGCAAGTCACTATAGCTCTCTGAGCTCATTCTTCATCTATAGACGAGAGTGACAGCACCCACCTCCTAAGGTTGTCATAAAGGTTGGATTAAGACAAGGCCTGTAATACACATAAAGCAGCACCTGGTACACAGTGAGCATTCAGCTAGCAGCAGTTTTCATTGTTACCGTGACCTCTCGTGCCTCGTCTCCCCTCCACTGGAGAAGGCAGAGCCCACAGGCCCCAGAAGACACACGTGGGGTTTCCTGGCCCAGAATCACACACCACTGCACTCTGCCTGACAGGCAAGAAGGGAAAGAAACTCAGGACACGAGCTTATTAGGAGTATAAAAATAGGACTTTTTTTCCTCATAATCATATCAATTATCAAAGAAAAAAACAGTATGTAACAAAAATACAAAGCTCTGGTGGATTTTTTTTGTCAGTTTTTGGGTTTTTTTGCCGCCCCCCTCCCTCCCCAACAGCCCCTTCCCAGGGATCCCCTGGCTGAAGCCTGGGTGCTGTCCCTGGGGTTGCCCTGGGCTCAGGAGAACCGGTGGTCCAGGTCCCTCTGGGGGTTGGCCGAGTATGAGTAGGCCTTGCCCAGTACCAGGCGGTCCCGCAGCAGCTTGAAGAAGGCGTAGTAGTTGCTGAAGAGGATGAGCGCCAGTGAGATGGTCTGGTGCCACTTTTCAGAAGACATTAAGGAGTACAGCTGGTAGACAATGACAGCACCCTCCAGCAGCAGGAGGATGTTGAGGATCCGCAGAGGTTTGCTGAAAAAGAACTGCCCAGGAAAGAGGAGGATGGACTGGAAAGAACTCTCCGGAAACCTGCCTCTTGGGGGGCTGGGTGGGCCAGTGAAGGGAACGAGCTCTTGGGGCCCCATGCAGTGGGCTGGGAAGGGAAACTTCAGAGGGTTGGGCACTGACTTTGCTGCCTCTCTGCCTTTGCTTGTGGTGTTCCTTCTGTCAAGGCTACTGCTCCCCACATAATGTTGTTTAAGATCCTATTCAACTTCTACTTCCTCCAGGAAGCTTTTCTTGAGAGGTCTTGCTTGCTCTCTCAAACTTTTTTCTGGTCTAAAATCAGACCAGATTTTATATGTGATCTTCCTGGGTACTGTAAGACCTGAACCAATTAGAATCTTATGATATATTAGAGGCCCGGTGCACGAATTTGTGCTCTAGCGGGGTCCCTCGGCCTGGACTGCAGGATTGGGATGAAACCGGCTCTCTGACATCCCCCGAGGTGTCCCAGATTGCAAGAGGGTGCAGGCCAGGCCGAAGGACCCCACTGGTGCACGATCAGGTCCAGGGAGGGATGCGGGAGGTTGGCCAGCCAGCGAGGGACTGTGGGAGAGCTTCAAGGCGTGTCCGGCCTGTCTTGCTCAGTCCCAATCAGCTGGACCCCAGCAGCAAGCTAACCTACCAGTTGGAATGTCTGCCCCCTGGTGGTCAGTGCATGTCATAGCAAGTGGTTGAGTGGCCTTAGCATATCATTAGCATATTACGCTTTGGTTGGTTGAATGGCCGACCAGATGACCGGATACTTACCATATTAGGCTTTTATTATATAGGCAGAGTTACAGACTCCACAGCCTGAGTCACCAATTACTTCATGTATAGCACTTGCCAGCTAGGCCAGAAGCTTCCAGGGGACATGGTGACTCCTCACTCTTACTTGGTGTTTACCAGGCAAGGTAGAGTGTAGCAAAAAATTTCTGATCAATTCAAAAGAGTGATCAATGTCTAGGGATCCATATTCTGCAAGAGGCACCGTACCTAAACCTCAAGAGCTGCTCACAGGATAGGAGAAGTAGTAGGAAATGGGAGTCCAAGAGACCAGCATGCCAGGTTCAGCTCTGCCAATGAGAGGCTTCTGGGGCCTCGGGCAAGTCCCCTCCCTGTCTGGGCCTCAGGTTTCTCTACAGTGAAATGAAGAGATTACCCAGATCTATGATTTCTCAGACTGTGTTCCTTAGAGCACCAGGTTCCGAGGAGGTTATTTTAGGGACTATAGCAGCGGTGAGCGGGAGTGAAAGGAGTCCCAACCCTGGCAAATAGAGCAGTGCCATGAGGTCCTATACATTGGACTTTAGTCTATGACTGTATTGGACAAAGGATTTTGATAGCAAAATAAATAAATAAAATGCAGACCACTAGCCTAGATGATTTTGAGCAGCCCTTTTCCATAGTGTCACTACCTCCAGTTTTCAAATTTCCTAGGAAGGCACCCTTGAACAACTTCAACTCTCTAAGCTGGTTTTAGTATCTAAAAATGGGGAGAGCCCTGGCATTTCTCCCGTACACACAAAGTTCTGGGAAAGACTGGTGGAAGAGTGCATGGGAAGTGCTTGCCTGGCACACAATAGGAATGATGATAGTTATTATTTTTATCACTAGGAACCTTTCCTTATATTGTATCATCTTTCCCACCTCCACCCAGTATTTCAATGATCTGCTACCAGGCAAGATGCAGTTATGAAGTGGTTGACATGGCTGTCCTTGTTCTGCATGTGTAATTGTCTGCCTTTGGATTTGGGAAATACCTAAAAATAACTCTCTTGTTATGATATCACCTTCCTGCCCCTCTGGCCCCCCTGCCCTGTAGCTCAGGCCCCACCCTCCTTCCCGGGGAGGAGACTCACGTGGAACCGGAAGTGGGAGACGTCGGAGGGGACGGCCACATTGTAGTGACCCACTGCTTTGTAGACGTTCTTGCTGTGCTTCACCAGCACGCCCTGCGGCCACATGCATTCTTCAGTCCACCTGGAGGCAGAGCCCAACAGTGCGCTTTATGCCCAGCTCACCCACAACAGGGGTGACCAGAAGACTGGGCATGAGGAGAAACCACCAGGGCTCTACTCTCATTTCTATGACTCAGCAGTGACTTTCCCTTTCTGGGTGTCAGTTGTCTCCTCTGTAAAATGGGGTAAGAACCATGAGAAATTCACTGTGCTGGCAGTCGCAAGGTCTAGGGCTAACGTTAACGCCCGAGGGAGTGTCAGGAAAATCTTTTTCCCTCTCTAGGTGAATCTTCTTCACCTGGTCTTACCTGTAGCCTCCAATTGGTCCATCACAAGTTGCCTAAGTGGTCTTTGTAAAATACCAAACTGAGCCTGACTGTTTTCTGCTCAAAACCCTCTGAAGGCTGTCCAGTGCTCTTGGGTCAAGTCCTCTGAGGCCCTGCATGGCCTTCCATGACTGCCACCATGTAGCTCAGTTTCTAGTTCCTCCAGCATACCTTACTGCTTCATGTCTCTGTACAAGTTGCCCCCTCCAATTGGACTGCCCTTCCTGATGCCTTATCCTTCTGGCAAGCTCTTTGTCATCTTTTTAAAAAAATTGATCTCAGAGAGAAAAAGGGAGGGGGAGTGGGAGGGAGAGAGGAAGGGAGGGAGGAAGAGAAGGAGGGAGGGAGGGAGAAACATTGATTAGTTGCCTCCCACACGTGCCCCAACTGGGGATCGAACCTGCAACCTGGGCGCGTGCCCTGACCGGAATGAAACCTGCCACCTTCTGGTGTATAGGACGGTGCTACAACCAACTGAACCACACCAGCCAAGGCTCTTTGTCATCTTAAAACCCAGACTCCTCCAGAAAGCCTTCCTCCAACTCCTCATAGAATTCAGCAACCTTAACACCCCCCAAACCCCTCCTACTGATCTACTTTCCCCAATGTTTTGCCACTTACTTATTTCTCTGTATGTCTCAAAGGTTGGGAGACCTTAAGGGAAGGGATGGTGTCCAATGCACCTCTGTCCTCGCAGCACGCCACAAGGGCTGGCACACAGAGGCCCCAGTGACCATGTGAACGAGGTGGTGGAACCAGTGCGCTTCCTTCCGACGTTCTGTGAAATCTCTCAGGAACTCCAAGGGTGCCGGGCCAGAGGACTGAGAATCACTGTCTGCAAGAAGCTCAATCTCATGCCCCTGCCTTGCTGATTCATTCATTTAAAAAAGTTATTGTGTTACATGTGATAATGCGAATGAATCTCACGGACAATATGCTGAATTAAAGAATCTGGACTCAAGATTTCATTTATATGAAGTTGCAGAACAGAAAACTAACCTCTGGTGAAAGAAAGTGAAAAGATAGTTGGGGTGGTCATTGGGAAGGATCATGAGGAAATTTTCTGAGGGGCTGGAAATGTTCTGTAGCTTGATGGAGGCTAGATTACATGGGTGTACATGCCATTATCAAAACTCAAAAAATTATACATTTTAAGATTTATACTTTTCAGCTCTGGCTGGTGTGGCTCAGATGGTTGGGCACCATCCCGTGTACTGAAAGGTTGGCTGCTGGTTTGATTCCCGGTCAGAGCACTTGCCCAGGTTGGGGACTCAATCCCTGGTGGGAGGCATGCAGGAGGCAGCTGATTGATGTTTTGCACTCATGTAGATGTTTCTCTCCCTCCCTCCCTCCCTCCCTTCCTCCCTCCCCCTTTCTCTCAAAAAATCAATTTTAAAAATCTTAGAGATTTGTACATTTAATTGTATATAAATTTTTCCTTAAAAAAAAAAAAAAAGAGGATAGCCCTGCTCAGAGGTTGAGCATTGACATATGAACCAGGAGATCATGGTTCAACTCCTGGTCAGGGCACATGCCAGGGTTGCAGGCTCGATCCCGAGTAGGGCGTGTGCAAAAGGCAGCCGACTGATGCTGGCATGGCTGTCCTTGTTCTGCAAGTGTGCATTGTCTTCCTTTCGATTTGGTAAATACCTAAAAATAGCTCTCTTGTTATTACATCACCTTCCTGCTTCTCTCATCATTGATGTTTCTATCTCTCTCTCACTCTTCCTTCCTCTCTGAAATCAATAAAAATATATTAAAAAAAAAAAAAAAAACTGCCCAGCCAGCATGGCTCAGTGGTTGAATGACAACCTATGAACCAGGAGGTCACAGTTCGTTTCTGGTTGGGGCACAAGTCCGGGTTGCAGGCTCGGTCTCCAGTGTGGGGCGTGCAGGAAGCAGCTAATTAATGATTCTCTCTCATCATTGATGTTTCTATCTCTGTCTCCCTCTTCCTTCTTCTCTCAAGTCAATAAAAATATGTTTAAATTTAAAAAAAAGGACTATACACAAAAAATTTACTGTGGACCTATTATAAGCCAGGTGCTCAACTAGGAATGAGGAGATGGCTGAGAGCCTGATAGGTAAGGACCCTGATCTCCAGGAGCTTTAGTCCTGGAGTGACAGGCAAGTCACTAAGCAAACAGAGCAGAAAGTGCTAGGTGCAATGATCATGGTATTATGGGATTGTAGGAGCATAGGGGAGCACTTGGATGGACAGGAAAGTGTTTCTGGAGGAATTCAAGTGCTAAAGAATGGCTAGGAATTAATCAGGAAAAGAAAGTCGGGAAGGATGTGGCAGGCAAAACATGCAGCATGTGCAAAAACCTAGATATAAAAATGCATACAGAGTTTAAGGATTCGAAGAGGTTTGGTCTGGCTAGAGCAGAGTATGAGTTGGGGCATGGTAAGAGATAAGGTAGAAAAGGCTGGCAGGACCCAGCTCATCAGCTGGGAAGCCGTGTGAAAGATCCTGAATGTTATCTGCAGATTGTGGTGAGCTACGGACAGGTTTAGCCTCATATTCTGCTATGTTCTATCTTTCTACTCCTCCCTCCCTTCAGAGCCCCCTTTTGGCCCATTTGGCAATGCCCATCCCCTTTCCTGGACCACCTGGACAGAGGCTGAGAAAGGCCCTGACTGGCACAGAGGGCCAACACCAGGAGGCTTGGTCTCTGTGGCCTCCCTTTGCATCTCTGCTTCTAGGTGGGCCTACCGCTACAAACCTGTCCTAGTGGCCTCTTCTCTGCCAGGCCTTGTGCTTGGCCCATGACTCAGATGTGATACAGAAGTGGCCTCCGTGTTGAGAAGCTTTCAGTCTATCGGGGCAATACAGGCAGGAAAACCCATATAACCTGGGTGAAACGCGCTGTGGTGAAATGCTAGGCACCATGAAGAATGAGCCAGGCTGGGGGAAGACAGCCTAGCACCTCAGGGTTCCCAAGCAGGGTAACTTCTGCCTCTGTTCTGGGTGCAATAATATCCTAGAGCTGGGCCTCTTTCACACCACTCATCCTATTTTTGTACACAGCTATCACCCCCACCAGACTGAACTCCTTAAAGATCTTGTTCAGTGGCGGCCCTCTTGGCGCAGTGGGCAGCGCGTCAGTCTCATAAAGATCTTGTTCAGTAATTTCCTCCCTGTTTTTTTTCTTCCCTGTCCAAGATTCACCATCAGCACCAACACCATAACACCATATCTTGTTATCAGTTTGACGTCTCTAAGATACGCCTTGGAACTGGTCCCTCCACTACTCAAAATCCTTCATAGCTCTCCTTTGCCTATAGGTCAAAGCCAAGCTTCTTTGTCCAATATATAGCACCAAGCCTGGTATGGATTAGGTAGAAATAAATGTCTGCTGGAAGAGTAGGTGACCTAATGACTGAATGGATGAGTAAGCAGTTGATAGAGGGAGTGAAGCGAGGAATGAATGCATGAGCAAATCAGTCAATGGGTGAATAAACAGTAGTCAGTGAATGCGAAAGTCTATGAGTCTATGAATTTACTGCCTGCCCCCTCCCATCTCTAGTACACTACAAGTTACCTAGGGACAGGGAACATGTCCGTCCTGGGCCCTGCCATACCCTATTCTGGCCACAAGGTCTAGCAAACAAGACATGCTCAATAACCTTTTGCTGACTGAATGAATGCGTTGATGAGCAAAGAGGTGAGTGACTCCAGACACTGACCAGGAGGGTTAGGGTTGGGCAGAGAAGGGTAGGGCAACTCACGGGTGCTGCAGCACGTTGGAGCACAGCGCTGGGTCCACTTTCTGCCAGCAGCCAAGGTGGGCAGCGGCCTTGTGCAGTAGGTCGCAGTAGCTGGCAGGCAGCAGGTGCTGCATGAGGATCACTGAGGTGCTGATGGACACCAGAAGGAAGAGCTCGCAGGACCAGCGCTTGTCATAGTAATGAGTGTTCTGGGGGCAGGAAGAGGTGGGAAAGGCCTGGGATGCCCATAACGTCCTCACTCCTTCCCCCTTCCCTGAGTCTATGTACCTTGAAGATCAAACCTGGAGAGAACTCAGGGTGACGTGAAACCAAGGATCTAACACCTAACAAAGAAGGCTTAATCATGGGCTTAGACAGTGATGGCGAACCTTTTGAGCTCGGCGTGCCAGCATTTTGAAAAACCCTAACTTAACTCTGGTGCCGTGTCACATACAGAAATTTTTTGATATTTGCAACCATAGTAAAACAAAGATTTATATTTTTGATATTTATTTTATATATTTAAATGCCATTTAACAAAGAAAAATCAACCAAAAAAATGAGTTCACGTGTCACCTCTGACACGCGTGTCATAGGTTCGCCATCACTGGCTTAGACCCTGTGCCCACTGCTTAGTCTTTTACAAAGAAAAACTGCTCCCACTGCCCACCACTCTGAGCCAGAACACTGGCTCCCAAGTTCAGGCACAGACTCTGGAGTCCAACTGACATGAGTTCAAATCTTGGCTCTGCTGCTTATTAACTGTGTGACCTTGGGCAAGTCATTTCACTGCTCTATGCTCCAGTTTCCTCATCTGTTAAATGAAGATAAGAGTAACCACCAACTACCTCTGAGAGGCATTTGGAGGACTATAATACCCATGAAAGCTCTCACATTGTAGGTGCTCAACAAACTTTAAAACCTCGACCTCAAATTATTCAGTAGGGTCCATCCTTGGATACATGTTTCCAGCCTACAGTCAGCTGGGAAAATACTTTCCCAGAAGGCCACACAAGCTAGAGAGAGAGCACAGGCTTTTGCTGTCACTCAGATCTGGATGAATCCTGCTTTCCTATTTAATGATAAAGCAGGACACTGTGACATGCCTGTACCAAAACAGCCAAATTAAAATACAAGTCACTGCTCTTTGTTATCAAGTATTATGAACAACAATGCATGTCCTCCTCACTGGCTGGGTGACCCTGTGCAGACCACTTCCTTTCAATGAGCCTTGTTCTTTCCACTCTAAAAATAGAGGCAGCAGTCACTCTAGCCCTTGAGAGAACATACAGAATCTCATTAAAAAAAATAGTAGTTATTTAGGCAAGCAGGAGGTCTCCTGGGGGGCAGGCCCTTTACCTCCCTGGGTTGAGCTACACACCTTCACGAACCAGACAGGCACAAAGGCCACATAGTAGGCACTCAGCATGGAGCTGACCAGCACTTCCTTCATGCGCCAGTTGAAGTCCATCTTGAGGAACTCCACCTCGCTGCGGATGAGGCTGGGTGACAGGCAGCAGGCATGGGTGGGCATGGAGTCTGGGCCGTACAGCTGCCGCGTGTGCTGTTTCCACGTCTCCCGCAGAGTCAGCAGGTAGTCCCGGCTCCGTGCCAGGCCACTGACAGCCTCCCGGGGACCCATGGAAGCCATGTGGCTGAAGAGATTTGTCTTGCGGATGTCACAGTTCAGCTGCAGGAACGGAATGTACATCCCAAACCTGCGGGGGAAGACAGTTGGTGAGGGCAGGCCTGCCCATGGGCCAGGATCCCAACCCTCAGCCACTGAGAGCCCTTCTTTCCTCCCTGGGCCTTAGCTCTCTTGGCTATTCTGAAGGGAGAATTCACTCGTCCTTCTAGCCATCCATCCTCCCATCCAATGATCAGTCGTTCAACACATTGAGTGTGTGCGGAGCATCAGGGATATAGCGGGAAGCGAGAGATGAGTCCCTCCCTGCCTTCACAGTCTATTGACAACTAACAGCATTCCTAACAGCCCACAGTAACTGGGCACCACCTCTGCTCCAGACACTGTCTTAAGTCCTTTACGCGAATTCGCTTCCCTTTTCCTCCTAAGAACACTGTGCATTAGGTCCCGTTGTTTTGTGCCCTTTCAGATGAAGAAGCTGTGGCTCAGAGAGGTACCGTGGATTCCCCAAGGTTCACGATTAGTAAGGAAGTAACAGAGCTGGGATTTATCCCAGAATAGTCTGATACCAAAGATCAGGAGAGATACTCAATAAATACCATGAGTAATCCATTTTAAATGTACATGGCACGGAGGTATAAGTTGCTGAGTACATATGTTAGACAGCTCTTAGGGCAGCTCAGGAACAATATTTGTGTGTCTATTATGTGCCATGCACTGAAATGGGCCCTTGAAAAGTACAAATCTCTTCCCCTGAGCAGTGCTCTTAGGTTACGGCTGGAGCTAATTAGTCAAGGGGTGTTTTGAGTGTCTGGCTCCTATCACTTGAGGAGAAAACTAGACGAACCCATAGCCAAGAAGGGTATATAGTTATAAAAAGTGGGTAAATGCCTAGCACAGTACATGGAACATCATGTAGGTGCTCTTTACAAGCATTTCTTTTTTTAGCTTGGGCCCTCTCAATTTCCCCAGGTCCTCAGACCCAGACCCAGAAGGGTTCCTGGGCTGCCCCAGAAGTCAGGGTCAATGAGAATGCTACATTTTCTTATCAACAGTAACTTCCTGTTTTCTGAGGTTCCAAGGGAAATGAGTGTCCTTGGGCAATGTGCTTCTTTGGGTTTTTGCTTTCTGTTCTATAAAATGGGGATGCTGCTCAGTCGGTGTGACTCAGTGGGTGTTGACCCATGAAACAGGAGGTCACGGTTCCATTACCAGTCAGGGCACATGCCTGGGTTTCAGGCTTGATCCCCAGTAGGGGGCATGCAGGAGGCAGCTGATCAAAGATTCTCATCATTGATGTCTCTCTCTCTCTCTACCTCCCTCTCTTTGAGATCAATAAATACTATGAGTATTTATTATATTTAAAAACTAGCCGAAACCGGTTTGGCTCAGTGGATAGAGCGTCGGCCTGCGGACTGAAGGGTCCCAGGTTCGATTCCAGTCAGGGGCATGTACCAGGGTTTCGGGCACATCCTCAGTGGGAGGTGTGCAGGAGGCAGCTAATCGATGTTTCTCTCTCATCGATGTTTCTAGCTCTCTGTCCCTCTCCCTTCCTCTCTGTGGAAAATCAATAAAAAATATTTTAAAAAAAATAAAAACTAGAGGCCTGGTGCATGAATTCGTGCACGGGTGGGCTCCTTCGGCATGGCCTGCAGGGATTGGGCCAAAACTGGCAGTCCAATGCTCCCTGCTGCTCCCACTCATCCCAGTCCCCCTGCACCTGCTGTGGGTTTGTGTCCAGTCACTCCTAGTTGGGAGAAGCTCCGCCACCGCAGCTGCACTTGCCAGCTGTGAGCCCTGCATCTGGCGCCCATCCTGAGGGATGTTGGTGCGGGGGGCAGGGGGACGGGATGCGATTGGCCCTCCCGGGCGGGTGGTGGGATGCCCTTGCAGCCAGGGATCCAGATCCATCCCACTGACATTTGCACTGGTTGTCAGGAGCCACCTGGTGGCCACTTTTATATCGTTTCTTCCTAGCGGAGCATCTGAAGAGGGGAAGTGGCCACGGTGCCCCAAGCCGACTTCCAGGAGGCCGGTGGTCGTTCAGAGCCTGGCCCATTCTCTGGATATTGGATCTGCAGGACTACTGAGGGAGTGAGTGGCTGCCACTGGGCTGGTAGGCTGCCCGGACCAGGTCGGTCAGCTGAGCAGCACTCCCGCTGTGGGAGCACACCTGTCCCCTGGTGGTCAGTGCACATCATAGCGACCGGTCATTCGGTCATTTAGGCTTTTATATATATATATCTATATAATATATATATTATCTCCCAAGGGGTCTCTGTGTGTATTTATATATATATATATATAGAGAGAGAGAGATAGATATAGATATAGATAGATAGATAGATAGATAGATAGATAGATAAAATGAAGTGGGGATGCTACCATTCTTCCTGGGGTAAGGTTAAGTAAAACAACTTAGAGAATTTGGTTGAGAAAATAACCTCTGGGGTCAAATAGGCCAGTTTTAAAATCCCAGCTCTGCCACTTACTAATGCTATTATTTAGGGCAAGTTACTTAATCTCTATGAGCCTCAGTATCCTTAACTTGCCTTAAGTTACATAGCTTATATTGATTCCCTATGTTCAACCAGGCATTATGCTAGTGTTTTCGTAAGTGCTCTCTTAATTTTTGCAACAACCCCCAGCATGGTGCCTGTCTCAGAATATATCAATATAATTTTGTTAGAAAAAGAAATAGGCCAGTGACTCTATCAGACAGGAAAGAAGACTGAAATGGAATTCCCAAAACACTCTTCAGGATCCCTGTGGGAATAAGGGGGTGGGCACTTACATGAATATACAAGGGACTCAGAGTCAAACTTAAGGGCAAGTACTTAAAATCTCTCTGATGTTGCCTCTAAGAAGAACGACAGATCAACTAATTTACGTGGTGACAGCAAGTGACTGCTCTGACAGGTCACAAGTTAGAAGCAGTTTCACATGCAAGATGGCAGATTCCCTCCCATCCTTTCCACCTAAGACATGACAGTAGGAAGTAAATCCGTATCAGCAAAACAAATGGGAGGAGTACACAAGTGATTCTGACAAATTTAGAAAGCGGACGGAAACATGTTGACAGATGAGGAAGGAAGCCATTGTCTAGAGCAGAATTGTCTAATAGGAATATGAGAGGCACACATGTTATTTAAATTTCTGTAGGGGGCAGGCTAGAAGAGGTCAATGGGGGCAAAATGGGGACATCTGTAATACTTTCAACAATAAAGATTAAAAATTTCTAATAGCCACATTAAAAAATAGATAAACTTAATTTTAATACTCTATTTTAGTTAACTCAATATATGCAAAAATATTATCATTGCAACATATAATCATTATTATGAATATGTTTTACTTACTTTCTTTTTTTGTACTAAATCTTCAGAATCCGGTGTATATTTTACACTTATAGCACATCTCAATTCAAATTAGCCTATTTCAAATGTTCAATAACAACAGGTGGCTAGAAACTACTAAACTGGATGACATAGGTCTAGGTCTAGGATATGCCATGAGAGGGCTGGACTGAGGGTAGGAGCTTCTCTGCCTAGAGTGATCCAAGAAAGGCTCTGGCTTGATGTGAGCACAGATGTAGAGGGCAGAAGTGAGAGCCAGGGCTGAACAAATGGGATTAAACAAAGATCTGTATTTATGAATAAGAATCAGTCCCTTAATCTCTTACACACCTCACACAATGCACACTGAAGGATTTTTCTGTAAAGAAATTGAACAAAGTGTTTGAGAACTGAGGTCCCCATTCTAGGCATCCTAGAGTAACACCTAGCCCCCTTTTTCTGGCCAAAGGGGGCCACAGCCTGACAACGAGTACCTTACTCAATCATCCTAAAGCAAAGTTTGCCCTGCCCATGTACTCAGAACTTCCAGTCAAATCTCCTATTCTCATATACAATGGCAGAGGGAGAGAAAATGCACTCCAAGCTACCAGGCTGTTTGTTCTTAAATAGAAATAGACAACCAAAGAAACCAACTATATTTAGAAAACTAGCAGCATTTAATAGAAAAATTGACCCAGGAGGAAAGACAAAATTGAGGGAACATAAGAGATTTTAAAAACAAGAACAGAAATGCCATGAAAAAGAATAATCAAAATAAGAAAGAGGTCTTAGATATTAAAAATTTGATTGCTGAAAAAATTCTCAATAAAAAAGCTGGACGATATAGTTGAGGGAATCTCCCTAAGGCAAAGTGAAAAGAGAGAGATACCCAGAAAGAAAGACTGAAGGAAGGGAGAGAAGAAAGGGAGAGAGATGAGAAAATATAAGGGGAACAGATAACCAACCTATGAGGTCTGCCATGTGATGAACTGAAGTCCCAGAGAGAATAGAAAACATGAAAGGAGCCCTGACTGGTTTGGCTCAGTGGATAGAGCATCAGCCTGTGGACCGAAGGGTCCCAGGTTCGATTCCGGTCAAGGGCATGTACCTTGGTTGCGGGCACATGCCCAGTGGGGGGTGTGCGGGAGGCAGCTAATCGATGTCTCTCTCTCTCATCAGTGTTTCTAACTCTCTAGCCCTCTCCCTTCCTCTCTGTAAAAAAAATCAATAAAATATATATAAAAAAGAAAACATGAAAGGAAAGATATTATCAAAGAAATAATAGAAGAAAATTTCCCTGAGCTGAATACCAAAATCTCATGGTAAAAAAAATCCTAGAGTACTGATAAGATGAGTGAGAAAAGTTCCACACCAGACACACCCTGGTGAAATTTCAAATAATCAAAAGTTAAACAGAATATCCCTAAAAGCCTTCAGAAAGAAAAAAAACAAGTCATGTACAAATAATTGGAATCAAACTGGTATTAGTCTTCTCTTTAGAAACATGGGATACCAGAGACAATGGACCAATATCTTCAAAATTCTGAGAATATGAATTTAGAAATCTACATTTAGCTGAATCATCAATTAAGTATGAGGGCAGAATAAAGACAATTTTAGACATGCAAAGACTCAGAATGTACGTTTAACTCCCATGTACCCATTGTTAAGAAAATTACCTGATTATGCATTCCAGCAAAATAAGGGAGAAAAACCAAGAAAGAGGAAGACATGGGATCCAGGAAACAGTGGATCCAACCCAGGAGGGCAGCGTAGGGAAGTCCCAGGCTGAGAGCTGTACATCAGGCCTAAAGAGCAACCACTCCAGACTGGAGCAGGAGGATGGAGAGCTCCAGGAGGGATGTCTTTTGGGGGGAAAATGAACTCCAGGCAACAGGTAGCATGATTGAGAGGCTGGATAAACTTGAGGATATGTTGAAGGCCCATCATTCTTTTGTCAACAAGAAAAAAAAAAGGCAATTAGAAACTCCAAGATGAAAAAAAAAGCTGTATAAGAAAGTTACAATCTAAATATGAAGCAAACTAAACTATGATAATGATTTTAAGCATTTGATGGAATGTAAGAGAAGAGAAACCATTTGACCTAGACACTAGAACATTCTTTTTTTAAGAGGCTCAAGATTATAATTCAGTTAACTATAGAGAAGGAATGTCATCTATGAATACTACTTGGCCCTACACTAAATGATGTTTTCATATTTATAACATCAAGTCTACTTATTAATTTTTAGAATTGGACTTAGACAAAGAATGAAAGACTTTAATGTGTTTATATACAAGAGTGTGAATGTCAAGCTTGACAGTATAAGAGTATAGTTGCCAGGAAGTGAGAGGAGGAAGAGGGTGAAAAAATGGAATGGCAGGGTTCCTAATATTCTTCTTTTACATAAAAGGAATTAAGACACTGACTACTATTGATGGAATAAAAAAGACAGGCATTCTCATATTACTGAAAATGATAACCAATAGGAAACTAAAAATAATAACTTATCAAACACTGGAAACAGTAGGGATGGAAGGGTGAACTAAGTATTTTGTTATTGCATGTGCACCTGTATGCATGTGCACATATGAGTGTGTGGTATGCATGTATATGCAAAGGATATTTATTTCCAGGATATACAAGAAACCAGAAATATTGGTGGCTACCTCTGGGGAGGAAAACTGTGTAGCTGGGAAAAGGGAGTCAAGAGAAGACTTTTTCATTCATATTCTTTCATATCTGTTGAATTTTTGTTTTTATTAATTTTAGAGAAACAGAGAGAAAAACATCCATTGGCTGCCTTCTGCACGACCCCTGCTGGGGATCAAACCCACAGCTCTGGTATGTGCCGCAGTCAGTGTGCAGTATTTAAACCTGCTGAATTTGAACTATGTAAACCTATTATCCCAACTATAAGATCAATACATTTTTAAAAAGAGTAAATAAAGGTATAAAGATACTAGAATTATGGAGGTGACCTGAAAAACATTTAACACCAGAAACAGTGACAGGGATTGTTTTTGAGAAGTGGGACTGGACTACTCTGGGGGGTGGAGTTGGAGGCTATTTTTCATTATAAGGTTTTAGCATACTGGACTTGATTTTTTTATGCGGATTTTTTTATTGTTTGCAAGAAAATAAAAAATAATGCAAGATATAAACATTGGATGATGTCTGTATCCAAGGAGAATGGACTCACTGGAGAATAACTAGAAAGGGTCAAATTTAGGCAATCGTTGAAAATTTAAATCAATACAACCATTTTGGAGGGTCAATTGCTAATAGCTATCAAAGCTGGTGTGGCTCAATTGGTTGAGCATCGTCCCTTACACTGAAGGGTCCCTGGTTCAATTCCCAGTCAGGGCAAAGCCCAGGTTGTGGGTTTGGTTCCGGGTCCAGGTGAAGCAACCTATCAATGTTTCCCTTTCACATCAATGTTGTTGTTTTTTTTCTCTCAAGACAATTTTTAAAAACATGGACATAACTTTTTATCAGTAATTCTACTTCTGCAAATCTGTTTTACAAAAACACTGAACAAGTGTGCAAAGATGTATGCAAAAGAATGTTCCCTACCTCATTAAGTAGGGAGAAACTAGGAATAACTAAAAAAATCTACTAATAGAAGACAAAACAAATTGTGAAAAATCTATACAATAGAATGCTATCAGGCCATTAAAAAAAGTGAGGTAGACCATATGTATTGCCATGAAAAAATATCCAAGTTATATGATTATGTGGAAAATGTAATCAATTTTACAACATCATGCATAGTACAATCCCATTTTTGTTTTTAAAAAAGTATGTGTGTAAATAAAAACCAACCAACCAACAAACAAAAAACACAACAACAAAAACAAACAAAAATGTATGTGTTCTAGCACACAAAAAGGAAGGATATGCAAGCATGTCAAACTCGAGTTTGACATGCTTGCAGTAAATAATGGTTTTCTGGGGGACTGAGATTATGTGGACTTTCATTTTCTATGTTAAAAGCTCCTATAAAGTTTAATGTTTGTATATGACATGTGTCACTCTTCTAATTATAAACTAGATAGAACTGAAGCAATAGTGATGGGGCTCCTCCCATGACAGTGCCCTTTTGGTTAACCAGGGTAGAGAGGGAGAAGTGTCCAGCTATGAAGCTTCCCAGGGAACAGGGCTGGTCCAACCTGGAGAAGCTCATGAACCAGAAAGCTCAGGGGTTGGGAAATAACTGTTAATGCCTAGGCAGCCAGGAGCCTGCCCCATGAACAGCCAGAGTAGACACCTTGCCAAAGCCCTCCCCAATCCTAGGCCAGAAGGGGCAGTCCTGGGCTCCTCTCAGACACTATCTCTCCATCTTCGACAATTTGGGTTCTGGCAAGATGGAGGGAGAGAGTGACCAAAACAGACAAAGACAGACATATACACATGCATGTGCAGACACACACACACACACACATGCTTCATGCATAGACACACACAGGTGCTTGCATGCACACAGACCTATGGGAGGCACCAAGAGCTTCCATAAGCACTGATATGTACAGAGACAGAGACAGACAGAGAACCAGAGAGAAAGGAAAGGAAGAGAGAAGGAGACAAAGTACATGCACTTCCCTCAGGAACCTTCCTTTGGGATATACACTCAGATTGGAGTCCTATTCTGACTCCCCCTTGGTGGCACCTTGGGTAAATTATGCCATCTCAGTTTCTGCTCCTGTGAAAGAAGGCTAATCACTCTGGTCTCAGGGGGATATTGTCTGACAATGTGAGAGAACATTGTTGCTGCCTGGCCTGGGAGTCTTCCAGGTGTGGGGGCCTGCTGACCCAGCTACACTCAGGACAAAGGTCAAGAACCAGGTGTCAGGCAGTGAGGGGTGAATGAGGGGTACTCACGGATAGCAGAGGAACAGGAGGTTCAGGAAGGAGTAGGTCCTGAAGAGGTGGATGAGGGAGCGGCACAGACTCCAGCCTGTTGCCGTGAGAACGGTGAAACGGGTGAGGAACAGCAGGATGGAGCGAAAGAGGGAGACCTTCCCCCTCTGAGAAGCCTGGGTCAGGGTGAGATAGGACGGGATGGGGCCTTGGATGAAGGCCACAGAGGCTGTGCCCAAATCCCTCCCAGCACGGCCTGTGTCCCACCCAGGGAAACATGGGGCAGCAGCCGCGGCAGAACCTGGCAAGGTGAGCCCTCCTTGACACCCAGTAAACTCCAACGGCCAAAGGGATGTTAGTAATGTTCTTCAACCAAGTCCGAAGGGAGCCCCAAGGAAACGCCTCAGGATTGAAGGGCTCCACGTATCTCCTCAGCACCCCCGGGGGAAAGGGAGTCCCAAAGTCCCCAGCCTCTAGGACCCAATCACCTCCTTCACGATGGACCCAATGAAGCGGCGGCCCAGTACAATGGTGGTCACCATCAGCAAGTTGAAGTCGATCAGGTGGAAATTCTGTCAGAGGCAGAGGCCTGGGGGTCACGAGGGGCCCCCTGCCTATATACAATCTATTCTCAGATCCACCTCCCCCTGCCCAGTCCTTTCCATAGGGACTATCCCCACTCTCTGACCTTCATAGGCCTCCAGCTGAGTCAGGACAGGAAATTACCTAGAGTAGAACAGGACCCAGAGGAGGGAAGTGGGAACGTCCCTGGAGATAAGAGAGTGGTGTGTGAGCCCCCTTGCCCTAATCACCCTGCCCCTGTCCCTGAACCTCTCGTTCTGCATGGAGACCTTTCCACTCCTTGAAACACTCACAGATGTCTATGCTTCATCTCCCCCACAGGACTTAAGACTGTGCTCCTTTAGGCAAAATCTGTCAGATTCATCTCCACTTTTACAATGCCTGGTGTGGTGCTGGGCACAATAGGGGTGAGAATTCAGAAATCACCAGTTTCCTGTTCTTTCTACACTTCCCTTGCCCAGCATGAGGCCAAGCCTACAGGGTGCTAGGGAAGCTGTGCTAAACTGAAACCAAACATACACTCACACACACATACACGGCTGGTCCTAGCTGGACACCTACCAGGGAGGTGTGGGAAGGCGGGTGGGAAGGTGGGTACCACCACACTGTCTTGTAGATATTGATGTAGTGAACGAAGAGGGCTATGAGCTGGCAGAAGAAGAGCTGCAACTCAAATAGAATGCTGGCTTGAACTGGCAGCTCCGGGATCTTGCAGTGCTGTAGGGGAACGACTGTCTGGGTGGCCAGTGGGGGGCTGGAGAGGCCCGTCCCAGAACTGCTCCTGGGGACAGGAAGGGAAAACATCAGGAGCTGACCTGAGAACCCTACCACGAAGGGCTTCTGAGGCACAGGATGATGGGGTAGGATCAGAAAAACAGTTCATGGCAAGAATGGAGTCCTGATCCTACATGGCAGACATAGGGGTTGACAGAGCCTTTTCCTATCCCTAATCTTGTTCAGGCTTCCCAACATCCCCCAGGAAGGAAAAATTTATTAGGTCCATTTTACAGACAAGGAAAATAGGAGGCCCAAAGAGGGGAGATAACTTGTCCAAGCCACCAGCAAATCGGCAGCAGAACTGTAACTAGAATCCAGGCCTTTGGATTTATTACACTGCTAGAGGCCTGGTGCATGAAATGCGTGCACTCGTGGGAGGGAGGAGTCCCTCAGCCCGGCCTGTGCCCTCTCGCAGTCTGGAAGCCCTCAGGGGATGTCCGACTGCCTGGCTCAGGGCTTCTGGCTGAGTGGTGCTCCCCCTGTGGAAGCGCACTGACCACCAGGGGGCAGCTCCTGCGTTGAGCCCCCTGGTGGTCAGTGCATGTCATAGCGACCAGTCGTTCCGCCATTCGGTTGATTTGCATTATAGCCTTTTATTATATAGGATGTCCCACTGCAACTGAACAAATGACCATCCTCTGGGTCTTTTCTGCTGCTTTCTGAGCCCCCTCTGGCATCTGGGGTATCACATCCTAGAGCTCAGTCAGGGACAGCTTTGCCCTTACCATCCCTGTGAGCCCACAGTGAGGGGCAAGACACAGAAAGGCAGTTTACCTGGTGCGGGAACGGACACTGGTGACTGATGCACTGGAAGCGTGGCCCCCACCAGAGCCTCCGGAGGACCCTGGCTCACACAGCGGATTACGACAGTAGGATGTCCTGTTGGGACCTCTTCTTCCTCCTGTGGGACTCAAATAAGGTAAATCCTCAAGCCAAAGGGCATATATCAAGGATAACAGCAATGATCCTGCCTACCAGTTTACCTGCTGTCTCACTTTACCATTTAATCACAAAGACCTATGATCTGGCTCCTGCCTACCTCTCCAACCTCATCTACCATTCTCTGCCTGCCCCCATGCTTCAGCCTTCCTGGCCTCTCTCTCCTTAAGCAAACCAAGCTTACTGCTACCTCTTGTACTTGCTGTATCCTCTGTTCAGAGAGCCCTTCCCTGATTGCCATTTTGGAAGTATCTGCTTCATAATTCGTTCCCACCTCCACAACAATTCACTCTTGGAATTTTTCTTATTCATTTGCTAACATATTTATTGTCCGTCTTACCCACTAGTATGGAAGGTCAGTGAGGTCACTACATTTACATCTTCTTCCATTGTATCCCCTCCGCCTACCACAGTGCCCAGCATTAAGTAAATGCCCAATAAGTATATATTGATGAGTGATGAAACCTGCAGGGTAGGTTTTCCATAGATTAGAAACTGAGTTTATACTGTGTCACAGGCAGTTTGGGGGCTGGGTCCTGTGCTCTTAGCTCTGGTGTATGCTGGTCCATTCAGATACTACCCAGTTTCTATAGGCTTACAATTCTGGGCAGTCGTGAAGTTTTTTCCTCCAGGGCCTGAGATCCAGCTCGAGGGGCATCCTGGTGTCTTATGGTCAAGACCCAGGGCCTGAGCTCAGGGCCAAGGATGTGGCTTTGGGAGAATGGTGTGTTTGTGGACCCAAACTTGGACCCACCATCTATTTCTCTAGCCTTAGCAGTCTAGCCCAAGCTCCCAGGCTCCATCCTGCTTATAAGCACCACCCCAGTTCTAGTCAAGGTTATAGCTTTGTTTATATCCCTTCAGGGTAACACGGCAGCTTACACAACACACACCTTTTGCCCTAGTTCCTCAGTTTGGAAGCTTTTCCCACAAGCCTCTACAAAGCACTTGTCCTCGAACTCTGCCCCTCAGCCAGCCCCCAGCCCAGAAGCTCTGTTCACACACGACTATACTCGGCTGAGAAAATCCCACACAAATACCTTCACCCCAAAAGCTCTGCCCATACCGAGTCTCCTCTCTTTAGAAGCTCTGCACCCACACAAGCACCCTCAGCCCAGAAGTCCCGCCTACACACAATTGTCAGCCCAGAAAACCCGCCCACGAGCCCATAAAAGCTGCGTTTGCCCAGAATCCCCGCTCCAGAATGGGGTTCCCTTAGTCTAGGTCTCCTTCCCGCCCCACCGCTTCCAGCAGAAAGCCCCCCGCAGCCCGGAAGGACGTCCCCGCCCCAGGGCCCAGTCCTAGGGCCCCGCCCACGCCTAGCCCATCCTCTCCAGAGCCCAATCCTCCACCAGACCCCACCCCGCAC